TGAGGGGCCTCTTCCCAGGCCCCTTTCACAGATTTCCCTGGAGGGAACAGAGCCAGTCCGGGGATGCGCTCAGCAGCTGTTCTTGCTCCTGTGCCTGGAACTTAGCTGCCTCCATCTCCATCTGGAATATTTGACATTCCCTCCTGCCTCTGCCCTCCCCTCCCCTGTAGATGGGCCTAAACTCCACAGGCAGCCAGCTAACAGCCTCTCACTGTGGCACCAGCCCCTAGCCCTGGTTTCCTTGCTCACCCACGGTGGCTCTAGGTATCTAACAGACTCCACAGTGGAGTCAGAAATAGCTGGGCTGCACCTGCTGCTGTTGCCCGGCCATACACCCACTGCTTTCATCTCGAGGCAGGGCCTCCACGGTCTGCCTGTGGGGGGCTCTGCATTAGAGACCTGGCATCTGGCCAACAGCTCAGGAACTAGAGTTGGGCCCGGACAGCACTTCTCAGGGCAGCCCAGCCCCGCCAACGAGGAGCACGCCCAACAGGGGCCTGCGCACCTCGCCCCTCCTCCCCCAAGAGGGCTTTGCAGTGAGTCTGGCTGCGGAGCAGGGTCTGGGGGAGCCCAGAGAGCCATGGGCCCAGGGCAGCTGTCGGGCTGAACCCCACCTCTTGCCTCAGGCCCCGTGACCAGGCCTTGTCCTTGGCTTTCTGAAGGCAGCAAGGTCTGGCCCTGCCCTCTGCTCCTTGTCTGAGCCAGGTGTTCCTCCAGCCCCACCCTGGGGCCCTGCTGCTACATGTCTGCCTCTGGTTTCCCTGGTGTCCCCACTCAGGCTAGCCTCTGCCTGCAGGGTGTAGCCCTTCCCTTTATAAAGGACCAGTTTCCCGTCCCACTTCTGCCCCTTCCTAGCTGCGTGACCTGGGGTCAGGTCACCCAGCTTCTCTGGGCCTCAGCTGCCTCAACCCTAGACTGGTACACACGTCTCCAAAACCAATCAGCCAGTTTTTAAGAGCTTGCTGTGCTTTAGAAAGATGCGTCCCACGTGGGGCTAGTCGTCCTGTCACCAGGCAGCCTGGCCTTGGGTCAGAGGGTAGGATCTGTGAGCTGGGGAGAGATGTGTGAGAGCGCCTGAGGGCACAAGGGCTGCAAGGAGGGTCTGTTCCAGGCCAGGGTCTTTGGAGAAGGGGAGATGGACAGGGCGATAGGGCGCCTGTGCCTGCACAGTGCCAGCCACAGAGGCCTCGTGGGGGCCCACTGAGCTCGGCGGGGGAGCTGGCCTGGCAGTGGAGGCTCCTAGGGAAGGCAGCGAGGGCTGTGGTGTGTCTTCCGTGTGCTGGGAGCCTCAAGCCTCAGCTCCTTCGGGAGTTCAGTGGGGACTTTGGGGAGTCCCCAGTGGATTCTTAATGAAGGAGCAGGCACTTGTTGGGGGAGAAGGCAGGGTGGTGTGGAGGTGGGAGGACAGAAGGAGGGAACTTAACCGGGCCGGAGGTGAGGACTGGCCCCCACCACAACTTCCCTGACACATGGAGGTGCCTCGGCGGGAAAACGGTGGGACCTCCTGGTGATCTCCCTGCCCCCGTGGTGTGAGGATGTTGAAGGGCTTGGACCAACACAGGACTCTTCAGGACCCCTCTCGCCCACTGGCTCAGCTTGATGGTCCTGCGCATGGTCTGTCTGGTGTTAGGGCAGAGTCTGCCTCTGGCTCAGCTCTCGCTTGTCTGAGTGTTGTCATCATGATCACTGGTCATCAAGAGTACCTGCTGATTGCCTGTGAAGTCTGGGGAGTGGCACCTGACCCCATCCAGGCCCTTGGGGCAGGGCAGGGGTGGTGTGGACGGGTGGCAGGGCAGGCCATGGGATTCCCTCAGCTGTGAGCAAGTGCCCTGCAGTGTTGTGCCTGGTGCAGGTGGCAGCGAGGAACAGGTCCTGCCAGTACTGGGTTCTGCTGCCTCCTGGGAGACTGCTCTGTGCAGGGCAGCTCTGGCGCCTTTTCTCCTTCAGCCCTGAGTCGAGTCCTTGTGAGAGCATCACACCAGTTACCCCATCACACCGACAGCCCCTCCTGGGGCCAGTGTGAGCCTCTGGGGCTCATCCTTCCTTGTGGCTCTGGCAGTCGGCCATGGCACATGAGCAAGGGTGAGGGGCAGCCCCATAGGACTGGACAGTTGATGCATTTCTTCCAGAGCTCAGAGCTCAGAACCCACCACTTACTGGTGGTGTGACCGTGGGCAGGTCATGTGATCTTGAGCAGGTCCTCTGCCCTCTGAGCCTCAGCTTCCTCCTCTGTAGATGGGTAGAGTCCTGCTAGTGCCTGGGGGGTCGGTCTGCAGCCCTCACACCACAGGTGTAGCGTGTCCCATCCTAACCCTTGTTGTCTTCACTGCTGTGACTGCTGCCCTGGCTGAGACCATCCTAGGCCTAGGCCTTAGTGACCTCATCTTGGCAGCCCCAGAGCTGCTGGGGGCAGTGAATGCCAGGCCACAGGATGCTGTTACCCAGGCCAGAGGCGTTGAGCTGAGCTGGCCTCCCTCCTGAACAGCCCAGGGTCCCCTCCCTTCCCCAGGCCTTGCCGTGAGTGCAGCAGCCGGACCCAGAGGCCTGGGGGCGGGGGGGAAGAGGCAACTGGATAGAAAGTGCTTAAGGGGCTGGGGCTTGCCTGTGAACCCAGAGGAGCCCAGAGGATCAGTGGGACGGGCCTGCCTACTCACAGGAGTCGGCGTGGGCCCTGTCACTGGCTTGCCAGCGCAGGGG